TGACCAACCAAGAGATGATCTTTGGAGAACATCCTTCCATAGTTGGACAGTGACCTATCAGGAGATGTTCTTCAAGGAACATCTTGACTTGGTTGGACATTGACCCAGGAGATGTTCTCCTTCAAGGAACATCCTTCCATGGTTGGACATTGACCCACCAGTAGATGTTCACCAAGATGATTTGCCCATTGACCCAGTTAGATGTTCCTCTCCCAGGTACCACCAGTGATGATCACCCTCATGGTTTCATCAACCTCTTGGGTCTCTTGGAAGGTGATGGGACAACCTCCAAACCTTATCGTTGCACCGTATGTCAGAAGACCTTCAAGCAAAGCTCCAACCTCATCGAACACCAGAGGACCCACACTGGAGAACGTCCCTTCACCTGTCCTCAATGCCAGAAGAGCTTCACCAGAAGCTCCACTTTGGTTGAACATCTTCGGATTCACACCGGTGAGAAACCTTTCACCTGCTCCATCTGCTCCAGGTCCTTCACCAGAAGCTCCACTTTGGTTGAACATCATCGTAGTCACACCGGTGAGATGCCCTTTACCTGTCCTGAGTGTGGAAAGACTTTTGGTAGAACATCCAACTTGGTGAAACATCTCAGAACTCATACTGGTGAGAAACCATATGGTTGTGGACATTGTGGGAAGACCTTCAGCTTGAGTTCCAACTTGGTCAAACATCAAAGGACCCATAGTGGTGAGAAACCATTTCCTTGTGGACAATGTCCTAAACGTTTCAAGAAGAAGACTCATTTGATGTCCCACCAAAGGATTCACACTGGAGAAAGACCTTACAGGTGTGAAGAATGTGACAAGTCCTTTGGTCAAAGCTCAACCTTGATAGAACATCAGAGGACACACACCGGGGAGAGACCTTTCCGTTGTGGACATTGTGGGAAGAGCTTCTGCGTCAGCTCCAACTTGGTCAAACATCAACGGATCCATACCGGGGAGAAACCCTACGGTTGCGGGCGCTGCGGGGAGACCTTCCGCTACAAACCCCAGGTCACCAGGCATCTCAAGGTCCATCTTCAGGAGGATCAAGCTTGTGGTTCATAAAAACCAACCACCTTGGAGATGGTCATTAGGATGAGATGGACACCCAACATCTGGTGGCATCATGGTGGCATCAACATCATGGCGTCAATGAAGGAACATGAGATGGTGTCCATCATGGTGTGGTTGAACTTGGTGTGTGGTTTCTGCTCCAGCTTGGAGATGGACCAGAGACACTTTGAGGACTCACCATGGTGGGATGGAGATGATGGACACCAACGTCTTCATGGTGGGAACCATTGGTGGGATCCATCATGACATCAACATCATGGCGTCAATGAAGGAACATGAGATGGTGTCCATCATGGTGTGGTTGAACTTGGTGTGTGGTTTCTGCTCCAGCTTGGAGATGGACCAGAGACACTTGGAGGACTCACCAGGATGAGATGGAGATGATGGACACCAACGTCTTCATGGTGGGAACCATTGGTGGGATCCATCATGACATCAACATCATGGCGTCAATGAAGGAACATGGGATGGTGTCCACCATGATGTGGTTGAACCTGGGGTGTGGCTTCTGCTCCAGCTTGGAGATGGACCAGAGACACTTGGAGGACTCACCATGGTGGGATGGAGATGATGGACACCAACATCTCCATGGTGGGATCTCCATTGACATGGAATCATGGTGTCAACGTCATGGTGTCAACATCATGGTATCGATGAAGGAACATGGGATGGTGTCCACCATGATGTGGTTGAACTTGGTGTGTGGCTTCTGCTCCAGCTTGGACATGGACCAGAGACACTTGAGGGACTCATCAGGATGGGATGGACACCAACATCTCCGTGGTGGGATCTCCACTGACGTGGCATCATGGCGTCAACATCATGGTGTCAATGAAGGAACATGGGATGGTGTCCA